GTTTGCTGCAATTTAATTGCTTTTTAGAATCCCGACAAGATATTCATTTTCTTCATGTGGAATTTTCGCACAGCATAAGTGTATAGAAGCACATAAGTATTCGCCTAAGTGAACATGAATGTGTGTGTGTGTGTGTGAGTATGTCTATGTGGTATTGTTCTTAGGCAAGTTGTATTTCCCTGTTTTTGTTGTTATATTGCTACAGTTCTAGTTGTGTTTTGTTGTTACTGCATTCGGCCACAAAAACCACTCCCAGCAAAGTAATAAAGCACTTGTTTCAATTTTAACTTTTTAAGATACTATCGTAAATAGCCACATGCGCATGCGAAAACACGCTCAAACACACACACACACACATGCGCATCAACTCACTCTCGTCACTGTTTGGAAGATATGCATGTATACATATGCGGCAATGATTATGGCCGCATCCTTGCCTATTCGTGCTGCAGTAAGTATCCTTGCAAGGCTGTTTGCCAGCAGCACACATACACACTTACACTCGCACAGGTGTGAGTGCATGAGTGCACTTGTGTTTAGTCTTTTCACTGCCTTCATTGGTGATTTTTTGCCAGCGCTTTACTTTGCATTACTACCGCTTGTAGAACACTTGCGTGAGCATTCTCAAACACGTCCGTCTCCACATACTCATACGACTCTCAGTGGGAGCGTATGTATGTGAGCGAAGTTCAAGCACTCCTTTTGACCATCGGACCGACCTTTTCACACTGTACTCATTTCTTTGGCTTAACTTGTTTGTGAGTTTACTTGCAAATTTATTGCACTCGAACAAGCTTGAGTATTTAGTGTTCACAAATTTGAACAGACGATTTGTGCGCCTCTTTTTTTTTAAATGCGCAGACCCTGTAGGGATTGGAAACGAGCTCAAATTGTTAGTTTGATGAGAGCTCAAATGTTTTAAATTTCAAGAAAATAATTTCAAAAGCATAATTAATTTTGATGTGCTATTTCTTAGACTTGTCTTGAACAACTTCATAACTTGAAATGCAGCATACTGTTTTGAAGTGATAGACCAAAGAAATGTATTTCAAGGTAGAACTATATACTATTGGTATGATTGGCTTGACGTTGATCAAAATTTTATTCACCCTAGTGACTAGAGTTCTAAGATCAGCCTATAAAATGGTCTATGGTTTTAAAAATATTTAAAAAACATGCTTCGCTGAGAAAATTAAAGTAGTTCTGAAAAACTGTTACTTATGATTTTTGACTATTTTTATGTACTTTTTACTTCTTGTATATACAGACAAATTTACATAGCTAAATAGAACAGTTCGTCACACTGATCATTTATACTAAGTATATGGACTTTATAAGGCAGTGGACGTTTCCTTCTGGTTTTCCTATTTTACATTGTTCCAAGAGAGTTTAATTAAATAGTATAGAAAGCGACTATTTCAAGGCGACTATTATAATGACAATAAGATCTCTACTAGCCCCTTCCACGCGTCGATGGTTATTCCGACACACTCTCAATCTTGTAATGCCAGCTCATGTAATATCAATGTTAGTAAACTGTTAGTAAAGCATCTATGGGTTTGTGTGAGTTAAAGTCCTTAATGCAGATAAAATAAATAAATAAATATGAAAAGAAATTTGGCTTTCATACGCAAGCTTTGTGCTGCCCAGAAAAACACTTAAGTGAGTGCTTAGCAAAGAGGAGAAACATCTGTATAGTACAGCACAGGTCAGATTAAATCACAGCTCTTAAATAATTTTAAACTGACTGGAAAGTAGCAAGTTCAAATGAATGCATGTACACATTACATATACATACATACATATATATAAATATATATTTATATGAGTATATATAAGTCTCCTAAATGCAGAGAGAAAATATTATAATTCGGCTTTAAGCAATTTGAGTCAGAATATTTTGATGCTTTTAAGGCTCATAGTGCTCATGTATGCATCTACAGTTATCTGCATATATACAATATGTGTGTGTATAAATAAACATTTTAATTGCGCAACGTAGGTGTATCACTGGCAGGGAAAAACTGCAGTAAACATGTTGTTGTTGTTGTGAACACTTAGAGGGTTAAGTCTTATTCGCATTGGTGGACTGTTAAACATTAAAGTAAGCAGACAAATATATGTTTTTACACGAAGAAAAGTAGCCATGTATTCTTGAAGGCACCTCCCGCGCTCCTAAATCGCTGTCGTTGAGCAGATTTGCTCCGCCTAACGCAGATTGCACTTTGGCAGCGTTAATGATAATGTTGTCCATAACATTTCGCCATGCTTAGTGATTGCGAGTGGCCGATTGCTGTTGTTGCTGCTAATATTGTTGTTGCTTTTATGGCCAGTGGCCGCTGGATGTGCGCCACATGCCACAACTTCCTCGCTTCTTGCTACCGTGCTGCTGCTTATAGCATTTTCCCAACAATTTTATAGGTATCTGTATTCACGTGCATGTGTGTGTGTGTTAAGTTATCGATGTTTGTGTCCAATCGTCCTCGAGTCGCCCATATAATGAATTGCAGGGCGTTGCAGAAGCAATAATCATTAACAACAGTGGTTATCCCACATTTGACCCGTTACACAAGCAAGTCACCTTCATACACATGCTCACACACACAAATATATATATGTATACATATAGATTTTCTTAGATAAACATAAATGCATAGGGATGATACCCTTCTGATGCTCCTCTGTGAAAGCAAGTAAAATAAGTCGCTTTGCTGCCACAAAAATAGGATTGAAGCATGCTTGGGAGAAGGGACAGGGGCGGCCACTTTATGGCTACAAACAGCTATAATAACAGGCAGTATACAAGGTAGTTTATGTCTTCTACAGCTGGTGTCCCCTTTTGCGTAACATTCGAATTTGTATTAGCAAAATATTATTGCTTCTTGTAATTGTTGGCACTGGATCCACTCTGGCTCCACGAACTGATGACTGCCGCATTGTGGAATTGAGTGTGCGCGACTTCTTTGTCCCTTTGTGACAATTATTTACGTATTTTGGTTGAATTTTATTTTCTTCCGAAGCACTCAAACCCTTACCTACACACATCCTTTGCATCCTTTCTGCGTTGCTGAGCTTGAGTTTTCGGCCCATAAATACTCCAAGTTATATTGAACTTCTTGTAATGGTCAGCAAAGCGCCATCTAATGGCAAATAAAGAGGGAAAATACAAATAAATTTTCTATGCTCAACACGAATGGCAAGCTGCGAAGCACTTTATTCGCCTTCAAAGGCTTCGGTCAGGATAAATAACAGGATAATAATAAACTATGTGTGTGCAAGGCGCATGTTTGTGTGTATGTACAGTCGTCTGCTGCCTTTTTGGCACTAAATATTTTAAGCGTTGTGATTCTAATCGTATTTCAATGCTGTTTGTTGTTATTGCTTTGTTGTTTTAATTACTTCTGCTAGCCGTTTTATTGATGGCCATATTTTAAGTTTGCTTTTCTCTAAATATTTGATTTGTCTTCCGTTTGCAATTGTTTATCTTTTATTCTTACTTTGGGTTGATTATTTTTGACATTGCAGTAAAAGCCGCCTGCCAAAATTCCTTTGGCAGAATCGAATATGAAAACTACAGATTTGTATTTGCAAAAACCGGGTAGAAGACTCTTACTTCGAGCTCATATACCGTTTACCAATTAAGATGACGAGATTTTGACAGCTCGTGGCGGCCATGTTTGTTTACGAATTAGTGTAAAATTTTGTCAGTGTGTTTAGTAGGGTTTGTGATTTCATCATTATTTTGGTAAAACGTCAAAATCTTAAATTCACTTTCATCGAAAAATCATCTTTTCAGGTGAGACCCATTTCTGGCTTAATGGCCGCGTCAACAAAGAAAATTGTCGCTTTGGGTGTAAAGTTTGGCGACTCGTTAATGTCGAGAAATGGCCGTCAAGATAATGCGATGTAACGCCTCTAGATTATTTCTCGTGGTAAGTCAGATTAAAGCCGATCAACCAGCAACGCTCCAGGAGCTCGAAGATAACATTCAGCGCACTATAGTCGAAATTCCAGCATGCTTGACCGGGCCACAGAAGATTGGCGTAAACGGGTGGTGATATGCAAACGGAGTCGTTGTGGCCATCAGTACTTTACATTTTTAGGAAAACTAATATATGAAAACGAGCCTGCATGACAATCTTTTTAGCGTTAATACACAAATGTGTTAGCTTTTAAAATATTGAATTAATGGGCCTTAATTAGAGAAATTGTTACACACACATATGTATTTTGGAGATATATCAATTCGATTGGAAAGGATGCATAGAAAATAACCTCTAAGTCAGTCTAAAGGGCTTTCTAAGCATGGAGAATGTTTCCAAAACCAATGAATCCAACTCGGATTATAAATATTTACTATTTTGTTATTGCTTTGTTTGTATCTATCAACTGAATAGCAACCCTCTGTTAACTTTCTTATCACCAGACTCACAGAAATAGTTTTGAAATATAATTCCACCATTTAAATACACAGAACCTCCAGTGATAGACTTGCTCTTTTGGGTAAGACTTTATAGCATACACATTAAGGGTATTCATACAATGATATATTTTTTCCTCAGATAAGTTTTGTACATGAAGAATATTACCTTTTATTTGAAGATAGCTGGATTCGTTTTTTCAAAAGGGCATGAAACATTTTTATATTTATTTCAATGCATACTTTCCTTCCTTATACAATAGATAGAAAAAGAGTTTTAGTTAGAGAGGAAACATTGTAAATATATTTTCTCGCGTCGTCTTTCAACCAATAGCTCTCTTGAGAAACCTATTTAACATGAGCCCTAATCGTTCTTACAAGAGCCATTAAAAAAAACTGTTCAATCGACGATCTAGGAGTGATAATCACATTTTTAAGGTTCTCAGCCATGACGACCAAAATTCACCATAATAAATAAGCTCGACTAAACCCTACTAAATCAACTTTGGTTGAGTTGACTAGCTCAAAGCGTAAAACAATTGTTTCAGGTGCTTTTCCAATCAAAATCTTAGAATTTTACGAAAAACAACCGCACATCATAAAATTATAATACTTTAACTTTCAAAATTTATTGTTTAAGAAAATTCAATTACATTTACATAAATACATAATGCTTTTATGTAAACTAGCTTCAATAACATCTCAGCATCGCATTGAAGAAGATTTGCACATCCATGCGGGCAGGGCTTTCAAGCGCTTATCTGCCGCAATACCTGTCAATCGGACAGTGAATGAATTATACGAAATCAAAGCAGAAGAAATCAAAGAAATAGACAAAGCAAAGTTTGATAACTAACAACAACACTTCCTTGTTTTGTACGAGTCTTCGATAGCGTCTACGCAGTGCGGCTGAGCGTATAAATAACAAATACTTGTAAATTCCTTAGACATTGTTTGTGTAGGCAGTGTTGTTGTTGGCGCTCGTAGAAGAACTTATCACAAGAATAAGTTAAATAAGTAAGTAATAGTCGATTTAGAGAGGGATTTCTTTGATTTACGCACTTGACTTGCGCACACAAGCTGAGACTGAGCCTGCGAGGCTAACGGTGAAAGCTGCAATCAGTGGCAACACAATGGCATCCTTCGCCGCTGCTGCAGGCTCTGTGACTGGTCTGTGATATGGCTGATAAGAGTGGGCCAAGTTTTGGCCGAATTGAGTGGTGGTCTTACTGCAGTCAAGTCAGCGCTGTGCAAACAATTGGCCAAAGCCGCAGTGCTGATGATTGAAGTGATAGTTGATTTTGTGGCAGCAAATGCTGGCTGATTCTCGACTCTTCAAGGATTTGCCGCACAAGTAAATACATAAATATAATTGAGCAAATATTTATAAATAAGTAACTTAAGCGCAAGTTCAAATCGATTTTTGTTGAACTTTGTGGCATTTTAATTGCAAACTTTAAAACTTTAACAAACAGTTTGGCAGCTCAGGCGCAGAGCTTTCACCAAATGTAAACGAGAGTAAATAAGCATGCCGCTGCTGCGGCGAAACACGACGCAACAACCGGGTATTAGAAGAAATTTATAGCGCCTCGCAAAATTAGCATATTATCATATAGAACATAAGAGTATATTCTTGCTATTTTATTGAGCTTACCTTTGCCTTACCTTTGCGAACTGCCTCGCGCACTTGTGTGCTTTTATTTATGTGAAAGCACAGACAGCGTGGCAGCGGTTAGTGGCTGTGCTTCACGCATGTTAACGACACTACGATGTGGCATAGCGGGGCACTCGTATGTTTAGCTTAAGTCGCCGTAATACCTGTAAGTCACATAACGGCAAAATATTTATTCTTCAAAACACATTTGATACAATAATAGGTATTTACATATACATGTGTGCGTGTGTATAATGTAGTAATGTGAGTGTCGTTTGCTTACGGAAGCGCAATATTGTGCTTATGCGAATCGCGTTCAATTCGGCAGAAGCAATTGTCATCGTAAATTATTTTATAAATTGTCCTAATCTCGCACACAAACAGCTGAACACAATTGTCGCCTGTTCGGAAGTAACCGAAGCTGCTGTCACGAAATGATGTATGCAAAGCTATCGACATTATCGCGGCACTATATCTACGAATAGGTACATATGTAGGCCTATATGCCAATATGTTTAAAACTGTAACAGTATTTAAAGCGAGAACGTGAGACAAAAAATATTCTCGTTACTGAAAAATTGTGAGCTGGCTTAATAATATTGTAGCTCTTAATAATAGCTCATCTTGAAAAAAAATTCGTATTTGTTATGACGGAAGCTTATTAAAACCTCTTAAGTTACTAGAAATTTATGTTGAGCTTAGCCCAAGCATTTAGTTAATATGGTGTTATGAAAATATTCTACATTGAATAGATGTCATAATAATCGTGTTAGTATCTCAGGTAATTTCTGATTCAGAACTGTTTGTGAAAACTGTGCAAAAATAAAAATTTTTCTACCATTCAAAATATATACATATGTAGGTCGGGCAATGGAGTCTAGCATAATAATTTAGAGCTCATGAATCTAACATTGATGTCAGGCCCAGTCCGTAGTTCTAGGATTTTGTGTATATAGGCTTTCGAAATTTGGGATTTTATGGAATCCAAGGCACTCGCAAAAGCTCGAAAAGAAAATGAAAATTGCTATTCTGTTTTCTTCAAGGTCGGTGCTTCGGTTGACTAATTACACGAACTACGAACACTTACGTGCTCGAAGTTACCGCTATTCGTAGTTGTACTTCTTTTAAGACTTTTAGAGAGATAAAACTAACCTTGCTCTGAATTCAAAACCTACGGTGAACAGTCCGACTTATCTTCCTACTATATCTCATTGTACTTGTTGAAAGTTGTTTGCATCGCCAATAGCTGACATCAAGTGTGTTGAGTGAGCAATAAAATTCGGAAAGCAATCGGTTAAAGTCTAAAATTATAAAATCAAAGTTTGAGAACTATAGAAATAAAGTTATTGCAACATATTAATCTCATGACCCATGCAGCTCAACTGGATATGTACGAATGAGTATTTTCTTAAAGTCATCAGAAAAGATGAGAAAAAATATTTGTCTCCTGCGAGTAGCACACAAGGGTTACCCTTATCTGGTTAATAGCAGAGAAGCCCAATGCATGTCAATTCGCAACTGGGACAATCTCATTCGGCTGGAATGTGGCTAAAAATCGAAAGCTTTTACTCTCTAATGCTTACTTGCAACCCAGATAAATTATAAACTATAAAATTAAATACATTTCTACAAAATTGTTCGAATTCGTTGCAAACACGTAAACTAACTTGATTTCCCAATTAATTCAGCAAAAATTTCTACCGTCGTTCCACTTTGCATACTATGTTAAATATGTCAGTGAGTATGCGCTGACGGCTAGCAAGCGCAACTGAGCCAATAGCGAGTTTAGAGTCGCACATAAATCTAATTGGCCTCATAATGCTAAGTTAAAATGCAACCATGCATTTTACGCCAGTTAATTTCCTAATTTCTGCATTAAATTCATTTAACGAGTGAAACATTGCCACAGATATGAGTATACCAGCGAGTCTTGCAGATAGCACGAAGCAGAGAGTGAGAGCAATTTCGTATTGCCAAAAAGCCATGGAATTAAAGTCTCAAACAGTAATTGCGAATTTATGTATGCATTTAATGGTGATAATAATTCGCAGCTGCAGTTAATGCGCTGCTGACTGCAGTTGTTAGAGGTCGGCCAACTGCTGTTGCTGCTTGTGGCTGGAAAATCCCCAAATCCTTTGGTGGCACAGCAGCGCCGGCACATAATTTAACTTTCTTCATTAAAAACTTGAAATGGCTTTTAGTTGGTCAAAGCAAAAAAGCAAACATTATTCGAGAATATAATTCGACCAACTAACTGAACCCGAACAACGCACAAACACGAGCGCACAAGCGCCGAACATATACATACGTATGTATGTATGTAAGTGCAACAGCGCTGCAACAGCGTTGGACGCTTGTCCGAAATTCGAGCGGCCACTTTGTGCTCACACAAATGGACCACATGAAAAAGATTGCATGGGCTGGAGCGCCCAACTTACAGTTAGTGGCATTATTATGGGCGAATAAGTAAGTATATAAAAATTAAGACCACAAAATTGTAGGGAAAAACTAATAATCAACATTTCCCTCAATTGCAATTTCGCACAAAAAGTTTGTTTTTACTCGTACCAAGCGCGCTCCGTTCCTTTTGGAGCCGCACAACTTTCGTTTTTTACGCGTACAATGAAGTAGCCTGGAAGTTCGCTAATCCGACTTGCGCGTCGTCCAATTGGCAAACGCCAGTGATCACGAGTGTCTCGTCAGCGCGGCAGCTGCAGGACATGGTCCGCTTCCCGTTCAATTGGCGGTCGTTTGGCCTTATTGGGGTTGCGGTTGATTGTCGTTCATCGCTCGATTGCTATTTCCAATGTGGCTGCCATCCGTGCGATTAAAAGCAAACTTTTTCCAATACCACGTACGTGTGTATGTGTTTTCTGCTTCGATTCACTAATTCCGAAGAATTTTCTTTTGACGCGCTCATCGGAATTTGCGTCTTTCAACACTCTGGTGGTGTGCTAGGAGTTGGTAGCGGGAAGAGTTAAGGGGGTGCGTGTATATTAAAATAGCAAAGCATCGCATTCGAAAGGATTAACTGATAATAAGTTTGATGTACTATGTGGAAGTTGACTACATACACATATACCCTTATTCTCCCTTATTTCGACAATTTGTCATGCTGGTCGTGGCTGCTTGTGAGGGTCGCCAGAAACTGAGTTCATTTTGCTTTAGTTGCTGAGCTGTTGACTGCTGGCTTTCTGGTGCTTCAGTCTTTGACAAACCGAATTACGAGTATCACAATCGACAAGTGTTGTTAAAGTCAAGTTTATAAAGGGTGCCTTTATGCCAAACAAATTTAGCAAAAGTTTTATTTTGAATTGTTCGAGTTTTAATCAGCAAAGAGTTTTGCAATGAGCATGCAAGGGGTTTCTTAATTTCTTCTAGCAAAAATTTGTGTTTGATTGATATTCTTTAATTATTTGGTTCTGTGCTGATGGTAGCGAGTTCACTTGTAGAGAGAGATATAGATAGATAGAGATCTCCTAAAATGGTGAATTTGCTAGTCGCAAGATGGTGAAGTATAAGATTGTACACGATCAATCCTAAATGATATGAACTGCCAACTTCCAAAGCTTCTCTTTCTACCTACCTACATGACGGCACTTAATATGCAATTTTCTGTCAAACGCACTCTAAAAAACTAACGGAACGAAACTGTCATAGTTTTTGACTAGCATGCATCATTGCCACCATTCCGATTCATTCGGATGTACTTGGATACAAATTTTGATTCTTGTGACTCAGTTTGCAGTTTTAAGGAGAATAGGTAAAAAGTTTTGTTACTTTGTCGCTAGATAATTTTTTGACACGTTTGCAGATAGAAGTATCATGATAGTGAGAAGCTTGAGACAATCACTTGTTACACAATTTATAACACATTTTTTGAGTTTTTTTTTGTTTTACTTATCTAATCCCGCATAACCTGGAGACATTTGCGCTCTCCGGAACCCACGCAAATGTTTTAAAAGTTTAGTGATAATTAACGCTTGACGTGTTTAAGGCTTTTGGCAGTTGTTATTAATACAGTTACTATTTACCTTCTAAAAGCTAAACATTAAAATAAGTAATGGCTGCTGTTTTTTATGGCAACCCTGTTTGACATTCGACTTGTCTGCAGGCTATGTGTTCGAGTCGAATAAATAAATAAAATGTATATGCATACATATCTACACATATGACTTCAAATCAGTCGCCAACAAAGCGTATATAAGCACATACATATGTATATAGTGGCGTTGAAAAGTATAGCACCGCATTCAGATTTAAGCGCCGAGAAAAGAAAATTTTTGAACTCGCGCTGACAGTAGACCTTATATATACACATAATATTATATATATATGTAATGCCTACCAAATTTTTGAAATA